TGTTTGCAGTGATAACTTTCAACGCTGACCCAAGGTGAGCATCATTAATACGGTTTCTAATAGAAGACTTATTACCTTTCATGACTGAAAATAACTGCTCGCACCAATAAGTGCTACCAAACATGGAAATAATTTCATATACGAATTTCCGAGTATTTTCAAACCTGGCTGGTAAATATTTGTAAAATTCAGGCACACCCACTTCAATGAATTTTGCTTTCAAATTTGAGTTGCATTGAATCTCGATCACCTCCATTTGCATATGGCTCGGTACTGAGTCAATACTTAGTGACAAAATCGAAGAAAACAAAAAAAATTTGTCTTCGAGGGAACTAAAATCATTAAACCTCGCTTCAAATTCAGTTGTTAAATTTGCAATTTTTTCTGCGTATTTTTGATACGAACAAGTATCATCTAAACTTGATTTGTTCATGCTGCACGTCGAGAAGCGCGTCAAATCTTCATTTTTACGTTGTTTTTCCCAAAGAACTAGTTGACATTTGAATGCTTTAATTATGTCAAACATGTTCGTAATGATATGATCTTTTCCTTGTAACGATAAATTTAAATCGGTTAAGTGTTTGGTTATATCAACCAAGAAAGATAAATCTTGTATCCATATTAGATCGTAAAACAAACTTACGTCTTGATTTTTCGTTTTTAAAAACTGACATATTTCCTCTTTCAAATCCCAGAATTGTTTGAGAATCTTGGAGCAAGATAACCAACGTACCTCAGTATAGTAGGACAAACCCGAATATTTACTATCTAACTCACTTAAGAAAGCAGTGAATTGACGCTGATTTAAACCTCGAGATCTTATAAAATTTATAACTTTTTTTATATATGACAAAACATTCTCCATATTTATTACTTTCGTGCATAGAACTTCTTGATGTATAATACAATGCATATGATGAATGTTTGAACCGTGAATTTCACTAAGTTTTTTTCTTAGTAATGCTACGAAGCCCTTGTTTTTCCCGGTCATTGATGGAGCGCCATCTGTAGCTACAGAATTTAATTTTGCCAAAGGTAGATTGTATTTCTGCAGAAGTCCAAAAAACACAAGTAAATATATCTTCTCCTGTGGTAGTACCAGGGCATCGGTATTAGTTCCAGTAATTCCTCAAAAATGTTAAAATTCTTGTCACAAGAACGAAAAAACACTGCTAATTGAGCTTGCCACTAATGTCCGTGCTCTCGTCACAGGCAATGGAGAAAACTTTCGAAACTAGATGATTTTGCTTTGATCTGATCACTTAAATTCGCGGCTAAATCAGTAACTCTTTCCGCAACTGTATTTCGAGACAATGAAATTGATTGAAAAGCCTTCACATTTCCAGGACAAACAATTTCTCCAGCTTTCATTAGGCATTCCTTGATGAAATCACCATCAGTGAAAGGCTTCGAATGTTTAGCTATCAACTCGGACAAGACGTAACTTGCATGCACCGCCGCTTCACTTTCTTGCAATACTTTACTAAACATGGACTGTTGCTTTTTCACTCCTAACTTGAGCTCTTTCAACTTTTTTTCTCTCATTAATCCTTCGTAATTGTTATATTTCGATTTGTGTTGTTCGTAATGACGTTTAATATTATATAACTTTGGTACATTAATAGTATTATTACATATCAAGCAGATTATTTTATCTTTTATTTCACAGCAAAAATATTCTAATTCCCATTTTACTTGGAATATTCTATGTTCGTCAGAGATTTTTCGTTTAATTTTACTACCACTTGGTTTTGATATAGACATACTGAATACAAAGGGCTGGAATAAACACGGTTAACGTTAAAAAGTTAACAAAAATTTATTCTTTCCACAAGAGATAAATCAAAATGCTGAAATATTTCTTCAAAAATATTTCTAACAATATCACAAAATGTCAAACGTTTAGCAAAAATCAATCAACGAAGCAGAGAAACTAATTCTATCTCACAGCGAAATCGCTACAAATCAATCAGAGCATTAAGTAAACAAACAGTTTGCTAGAACTACAGCTACTACTGAGATGAGTTGTTTGTTCTTGGCTTTTATAAGCTTTATAATTAATTTCTCGAATATACTGGAAACATCTATAAATATCTGGATTTTTGTGGATGGCAACAGCAATTACGAGATATTTATTTATTAGGTATTAAATGCACGCGCTGTTCTATTTTTAACCTTCCAACGCAGCTGTCTTTTCAAAAATCATCTGTGTTGCTAAGGCAACATGAAGCAAATCTAATTAAAATTCTAAAAAAAGAAAACTAACTAAATAAATAACTATGAAATCCGTAACTATATGAATTAAGTAATAATTAATAATAAAGCAAAGTGCATGCACATGCATGCACCAATATATCGTACAAAACTATGATTGGAAAACTGAGACCATGAGTTCGGCCACATTCGGCTATCGGAAGATGCACACAAGTTCTGAGTGCACGTGTCCCCCAAAAGCCGAAGGTAGCTGAACGCAAGCTACTCAGACGCATTTGTAATTTAAATAGTGTGTGTCAGCTCACTGTGAGTAATCTAACAACACTGAATAAATTATCGTTAATTACTTAGCAGTAAACATTTCATTGTTTTCTTCGTTGATATGTTATTTTATTATTATATATTATTATTTGCCGATATATTGGCCCGGCCGCAAAATATTTGTTGTGGGCCGCAAGTTTGACATCCTTGATCTAAAGGGTATCAAAATTTACAAAAAAAAAAAAAAAAAAAAAAAGCTTAATATTCATTTGTTTACTTTAGTAAACATTTCTTTCAATGTAAGTTGCTTAAGTTGCTTCATTTTTTGTGCTAATACTTTCTCTTTAATTCTATAAAGAAACATAATTTCTTGTTCAGTTACAAAGTTCAGTTGTTCAAGTCCTGTAATTGCTGTGTCGAGAATACCGACCAACTTGTCAATCGAAATTTTTTCTGTTACTTTCTTCACTATCGGAAGCGCGCATGGGTAAGCGCTTTACTGGCTTTACGCACATGCGTAGCGGACGCATGCATCAAATGCTCAAAGTTTGTGGCTTTGAGGTTTGGATTATAGATCATTCCGGATTACAGACTTTGTACTGTATTTCATTCCAGTGCAGGTGATTGAAAAATACAAGATACTGATGGTCAGACAAGTTATAAAATCTCTTCTTGGTAAGTGTGTTATTTGCAAATTTATCATTTCCCCAAAAGACCAGTTGCTCCATTAACAGCTCTCCGAGTTGAACAATCAGCCCCATTTACGGTAACTGGGATCAATTATGCTGGTCTGTTATTTGTGAAAGATAGTAAAAATAAACAATATACTCCATTGATAACCTGTGCTATTACAAGAGGTGTTCATCTGGAACTAGTCAGTAATATGACAGACGCATTTTTGCTTGCCTTTCGACGTTTTTTACCTCGAAGAGGCTTGTGTTCTTTAATCTTTTCTGACAAAGCACATACTTTCAAACGTGCTGAACTTGAAACAAATTTGGTCATTAATGAATCATCCAAAAGTAAAACATTTTTACTCTGCTAACGGAATTAAGTGGGAGTATATTGCTGAAAGAGCAGCCAGCCTGGTGGGGAGGCTTTTATGAATATGTGGTGCGTTTCATGAAAGTCGCTCTACGGACAATCCTTGGAAAGTCATTTCTGACCACTGAGCAGTTGCAAAATCTTCTCATTTAAATTGAAGGGATGATTAACTTTTGGCGACTTTCCTACGTTGAAAGTGACTTAGTTGAACCGCATGCTTTAACTCCAGCACATTTCCTTTTAGGAAAAAGAATATCATCATTGCTTTTTGGGAGACCTTCACCTTGATTCAAATTTTTGTTCCAGGAATTCTTTGATACAGGCCTATAATTATCATGAAATCTTAATGAATTCCTTTTTGGTTCAGGTGGGGGGGAAAAAAAAAAAAGAATATTCGTTGAATTTAAGATCTGCCCATTCGAGGTTGATTAAGAATAATGTTCCTGAATTTAATGATAGTTTTAAATGTTCCCGAATTTAATGATAGTTTTAGTTAAGGAGAATCATTTAATCCAAAATTTTTGGAGATTGGGAAGAACCTTGAATTATTTCCTGGAAGCGATGGCAAGGAGAGGGTTTGCAAGGTAAAAACAGAGTCATAGGTTATCAGACGACCTGTACAACTTTTGTAAAATTTAGAACTAAAGTTTTATCTTTAGTGTTGATTTACAAATATGTATTGCGAGTATATCATTTTACAGCTGTTAATTATTTTTTGAACTATTCTGTTAAAATTTATAATTCTAGTAACATCCATGCACAAATTTAATTATTTAAAAAGTGCTTAAGTTCACATAGTTATAGTATGTTCTCTTAAGAGGCGGCCATTGAATAATCTTAAAAAGGTGACTATTGTTTTTCTGAATTTGGATAATGTTCCATTTAAATTCTCAGTTATTTAGATGATATATATTTTTTTCATTGTGTCTGAAACTCAAGTGTTTTTTTTTAGTATGAATGTATACTGTTTATATACAAGTTTGATGAACCTCTTGTGGTTCATGGTGGGGCAAGTTGTTAAAAATAAAATGATCATGCAATCAGATGACGTGAATTGTGGTCATCTGAATTCTTTCCTGGCAGGCCTCGCATTATTTGTTTATGAAAAAAAATCTTGAGAATTCTATGCAACAGTTTTTTTTCTTCTCGTATTAAGCTAGCTTATTATTTCCTTTTTCTCAGATTAATTACATTTGGATTTTTTCAGTCTAATATGTTTTTATATGTGATGTGAATAAAAATAAGAAAAAAATGGACAACATGTTCTTTATGCAAGAATCTCATTTAATTTTCTAGTGATATTACTAATTTTTTTCAAATAATTTTTTCCCCCAACAGACTGCACCTCTTTCACTCTATATAGATTAATCAGATAAACAACATAAAAAATTATTCAGCCTTCTTTTAAAAAGATTAAATTATGTAAAGCATTTATCATAGAAATTTACGAATACAGTATGGCAATTACCACCCAAACTCACCTGCAGTGCCAAATGTAAGACGGTTCATCATGATTTTTTCAAGTTCTTTATAATTTTTCTGCAATACTAATTTTTTTACATCTTCTGCAGTAGAAAGACCCTGGGAAAATAAAGAGATTAAGTTAAGTAAAAATTAGTAAGTAAAAATTCTCTTTAGATAGACAGTACATTAAAATTTGCTAAAAATCATCCTCTGACTAAAATAATTTAAATTCCTTACTTAACAGTCGATTCAAAGGAAATATTTGAATGTAAATATATAAAATATTCATGCAGAAAGAAATATGTCAACATATTTGATTAGTACATAAAACAATGTGGCTTACAAAATGCACCACTTGATTTAACAGTATTTCATATTTTTTATTTCATTGTTTCTCTCTTAAATGCTACCAAAAAAAAAATTACACCATAATAAAATTAAGTTCTAACTTGCATCAACATCTTTTTGGAAGGACCACTCCTTGCCTTGATGAAATTTATAAAGAAAATTCAACTACAAAGCATTTCAGATTTTTAGACAATTATTACTTAAAAATTCAACTTAATCTTTGAAAATCTAAACACCATTTTTAAAACTGCTAGCTGCATTAAAGAATATTTATATATCAGTCATATATTAATTTCAGGTAAGCTGTCTAATAAAATGCTCCTTTTTGAAATAAATTGCTCCGAAAAAAATCACAGAATCAAAATTTTATTCTTACCATACTAAAAACAAAGGTAACGTACCATAAGTATTTAATGAAAATAGTAATAGCACACTTTAAATATACATAAAAATGTACACCTTCCGAAAGCTTTCTCCAAGAAATATTAGCAGTTTCATGGGTAACTATTGTTTATATCGCACATCCATTAAGATGGGCAACTATCAGATGGATCGCTTATCACAAGGTGAAATACCAAATGTCAGACTTAACAGTATCCAAAATCAGTTTGAAAGTGATTTGGTATCAATGAGACTGCACCCTAATTAACTAATAACAATTCCCTGTATACTTTTGTTGTTGTTCCTTCTCCTGATTTGAACTAAAATTTAAATCACATGTATGAATTCATCATGAACAAGAGGAAAAGAGGCCTGTCATTAGCCACGGCCTTGTGCACCTTACAGGTGAAACTAAAATTTTGCCCCATCCACAGCCAAATTTTGATCAAGAGCATTGTGGGGATGAAACATTGGATATCTGACCCAATCTCTTTGTCATCAAGCCCTAAATGTGACTTTTGGCTCCATGGAATTTTAAGTGCATCCATGCCGCAAACACACTATATATTTACAAATAATCCTGTCTTCTTATGATTCATTCTTGAAACCCCATGATATAGCAGCTTGCTCTGTTAACCATACACGGAATAAAGCAGATTATACATGTAAGATTATATATGTAAGATTGATCAATTATGACAGACATAAAAGCTATAAGGCGGTTTATTGACAAATGTTTGTTTGCCTACTCTTTCAATATAAGCAAATTTAGAGGTATATTATTACATAAAAAATGCAGCGAAGTACCGAAAAAGGACTCCTGCTACATAGAACAAATCATGTTGTTAATAAATATTTGTTAAATATTACTTTTTATTAGTATCAGTGTTGAAAAATAGAGGGTGCCACAACTCCATTTGGGCTGATAGTCGATTTTCATTTTGGGGAGCATTTAAATTTTCTGCATTAAAGTGGTTATTGTTTCACCTCTGGAAATGAAGTAACACTTCCAGAGTCACCATGATGCAAATCATTCATCAAATCATCATTCCTATGGCAGAAAAAAAGCATCAACTATATTCAAATATTTTGCAAACCTAAATAGGTTTATGGTCATTACACAAATTTTTTCATGGCATTTGCTGTCGATTGTCTGCACAGTTGAACAGGTTTTACTAATGTATATACTCCCTTGGCCAAACAATTTAGAACAGAATATTGAATGTCTTCAATAAACTTGACTTCGGAATAGTAGACTCTGGAAACCAGTACGAACAATCCCTCCCACAGTCCTTCAGCTAATGAGTTAGTATATTTAACGAAAAATTTCTCTAGCACAATGTTTGGCTCTCTGCTAAATATAACTCAAATTATTTGATCAATACAGTACAAAGTCCGTAATCCGGACTCGTCGGGACTTCATTGATTCCGGATTAGGACTTTTTCTGGATTGTAGATCATCAATTTAAATCTGGTAGGATGGCATGCAGAAATTATACAATTAAAAATATGAAACACTAATTTATGAAATAAAGAGCAATTATGATCTAAAGGGTATCAAAATTTACAAAAAAGAAGCTTAATATTTATACACTGTATAAAAGGCACAGCATCGAAGTGGAAGCAATTTGTTCCAGAGTATTAGAAATTCAAGAAACTAAAGAGCCCATACACTGTATAGGTAAAGATAATCCTGCAGACTTGTTAACAAGAGGATTAACCAGAAAAGATTTGTTAAATTCAGAAAAAAAAAAAAAAAAAATGGTGGCAGGGCCCAAAATGGTTATTGTACCCGGAAGAGTACTTTGCCCAAGCCAAAGAGATTTGAATATGATTCAACAGACCAGGAGATTGAAGCTGAATATAAAGCTTTAGCTCCGCAATTGTTTCCAAACAGGTAACTGATGTTAATAGGTTTAGTTGCATATGCAAACTACTGAAGGTGATTTCTTGGGTATTATGGTTTGTTGATGTTCTTAGGAGGAAAACTAGTATAATGGGTCCTCTTATTACCGAAGAATATAATCGTGCTGAACAGTTTTCGGTAAAAACTGTTAAAAGGACGCTTTTCCCTGTGGAAATTAATTGTTTGAAGAATGGCAAGCCTTTACCAAAAAAGACTCTTGAGTTGCTATACTTAATCCCATTTTTAGATTATGAAGCTGTATTGTGAATGACTGGAAGGCTTCAGAAAACTCCTTTATCTACGGATGAAAAACATACTATTATACTACTGTCAAAATCTAAACTCCCCTGAATTACTGATTTGGGAAGCCCATAATACAGTACAAAGTCCGTAATCCGGACTCGTCGGGACTTCAGCGATTCCGGATTATAGATCATCAATTTAAATCTGGTAAGATGGCATGCAGAAATTACACAATTAAAAATATGAAACCGTAATTTATGAAAATAAAGAGCAATTATGACCTAAAGAGTATCAAAATTTACAAAAATAAAAGCTTAATATTTATTTGCTTAATTTAGTAAACATTTCTATCAATGTAATTTATTTATGTTGCTTCATTTTTTGTGCTAATACTTTCTCTTTAATTCTATAAACAGACATAACTTCTTGTTCAGTTACAAAGTTCGACTGTTCAAGTCTAATTGCTGTGTTGAGAATACCGACTAACTTGTCAATTGAAATTTTTTCATTTTCAACAACATTCGCTGTTACTTTCTTTACTATCGGAAGCGCGCATGGGTAAACGCTTTACTGGCTTTACGTGTATGCATAGCGGACGCGTGCATCAAATGCGCATGCGTAAGTTTGTGGCTTTGAGATCCAGATTATAGATCATTCCGGATAACGGATGTCCGGATTAAGGACTTTGTACTGTACTATCAATAAATAACGAAGGAAGAGTTATGCAAAAACACAGAAAGCTCATTCAATACTTTTTCTTAGAGTGTTAGAGATATTTTAAAATTGCCTTAGTTACCAACTTTGAACCACTCGACGTAAAATCTTGAATGCTTAACTAATATTTACTTTAGGATAACTTATAGAGCTTAAATCATAGAAAAACAATGCCTTCAAATTTTACTTATATTTTCTGAACAATCTTATATGTTCAGCACTTCATAAAGCACAACTAAAATGCATTTAAAATAGTCTTTGAAATTCAGAACTGTAGCTAAGGTTTCTAGCATCCGGGAACAAGTGAAGATTTCGAGTCTCTCCTGTTTTCTAAGAGTGGGAAACATTTCATTTTAAAAATTCATAACATCATTTTGTATCCACTGATTAGTGTGCCCAAGGACAGATGCCCCTTCTTCTAGCTACTCCCCTGTTCAAATATTAGGGATATGCTGTTTTCTATAACAGATTCGCTAAGGTAAATTTCATTTCTTCAATAATTCTTAGAATGCGATGCTTCTTGTTGAATATTTCAATATCATTTCGTGCATCACGTAACATTTCGTGCATATACACTGATCAACATGATAACTACCCCACATTTTTCAATGAACGTGTCTGGATGACTTGGAGGGCACATGATTAACTAAGAATGGCATTTAACTGCTGCTGGAGAAGGTAAGGACTCATTATTGCACTTACTTTTGCAAGTGAGGGAAAGGCTGCTGATCTAAGCGAATTTGATAGAAGGCAGATTGTAATGGCCGGAAGACTTGGAACAAGTATCTCCACGACTGGCAGGCTGGTCAGGAACTGCCGTTGTTAGTATTTATGCAAAGTGGATAAATGAAGGTGAAACTAGCAGTAGACACTGAGATGTTGAATGTCCACGCATCATCAGAGAAAAATATGTTTGAGACTGTCCTGCTTGGTACAACAAAATCGTCGGCAGAGTAGCTCAGCTAACAGCCCAATAAAATGCTTGTCCCCAGTTTTAGAAAACCCAGTTCTGGGGACATTGTTGGATATGGAACTACACAGCAGATGTATTACTCATGCCTCTGTTGACCAAGCGTCACTGTCAACTACACCTACAGAGGACCCGGGGACATCGAGACTGGATCATAGATACGTGGAAGACATTTGCCTAGTTGGACTCATCATGATTTCTCATTAATCACGTCGATGGTCGAGTCAGGGTAAGCCATCATCCCAGCAAACAGTTGCTTCCCGCCTCCCCTGTACAGCATGTCATACACAGGCTGCTGGGCTTTGCTTCAGAAAACATTTTGATGGACAGCTATGGGCCCCTTAGTTGTGGTAGAACAGACCACGAAAGCTGTGGACTTTCTGAACATAACTGCAGATCAGTTGCCCCTTACATAGCATAGGTCTTCTGAACTGGAAATGGAATCTTTAAACCATTAAAAATTCAAAAAGTTAGAAATATAAAATAATAAACAATTGCAACCTAATTTTTGTATTCGGAATCCAGTTTAGCACCTGAAATAATTTTCAGAAAATTACAATAAGTCTGCTATTTTAAAAATTCATCTCCAGAAATTCAAGATGCACAACATAAAACCTGATATTAAAAATAAACTGTATATGTTGCGTTGAATCTACCTAAATATCATTTCATTCAGTCATTCTCACCTTTAAATTAAATCTGACTCTATTCTATAACACTTGAAAAGAAATATTTTAAATAAACAATTACATTTTCTTGCTTAAGAAAGTCAAACTTTATTTGCTTACACACTTGGTAGCAATAATTAGCAGGTAGCAATGAATAAATAGATGGCTATCTCGTTGAACACAAATCAGAAGCTTGAAATAACAGCACAAACTTGATGATCACCTCAAAAAATTAAAACTTCCTTTGTCTTATTGCACTAATAGAAAATATGTGGGCTCTAGGGTAGAATTATGTGCCCTTCAATTGGCAACAAATTTTGCTAAATTTTGACACTGAAACCACTTTTCTGGTTACCACGATAGTTTTAACTTGGTTTCAACTTCCTGATTTTAAGTGAAAATACACCGACTACCAATAAGTATTTGGACACCTGTGATAGAAAAGAAAAACTAACTTTATTCAAAATCAATAGTTGGTAGAGCCTCCACAAGAGGTAATTACAGCATGGACCCTCCGGGGCATACTTTCCACAAGTCTTTGTATGACAGCTAGTGGTATTTTCTTCCACTCGGCTTGGAGAACACATAGAAGTTCCTTCACCGATTTTGCACGGGTAGTGCACCCCCGAATTCGGCGATGCAACTCGTCTCAGAGGTTCTCGATAGGGTTCAGGTCTGGACTCTGGGAAGGCCAGTCCATTCGATGAACTCCAATGGCATCATACCAAGCCTTGGTTAACGTCGAAACATGACAACTGGTATTGTCGTCCTGAAAGTAACAGGGGTCCAACCCGTAAAACTGCCACAACGTAGGAAGCACATTGTCATCCAAAATAGTGCAGTAGGCATCGGAGTTGAGCTTACCATGAATGGGGACCTAGGGTCACAGCCCATACCAGGAGAAACACCCCCAGACCATAATTCCACCTCCGCCGAACTTGACTGTTGGCACAATGCATTCTGGCAAGAGACGTTCTCCAGGTAGACGCCAGACCCAGACCCTGCCATCCGAACGGTAAAGGGTGAACCTTGATTCGTTACCCTAAAGAACCCGTTTCCACTGATCTACGGTCCAATTTCGATGTGCTTTGCACCACATTAACCGAGCAGCACGGTTGGACTTTGTGATCAAAGGCTTATGGGCAGCAGCACGACCATGAAAAACAAGCAGATGTGCTTCCTTACGAATGGTATTCATTGAAACAATACTCCTAGATGCCTGTTGAAACTCCTCGCGGATGAGGGTTATCGGTTGGGTGCGGTTCTTCCAAATTTCTCTGAACAGCACTCGTCGGTCTCTATCCCCCAGTTTTGTTGGTCAGCCGACTCGGGGCACGTTCCGACAATCACCGCTCACCTTCCACTTCTTAATCACATAGGCTACTGTCGATATTGGGTACTTCAGATCGCTAGATATGTCTCTTAAGGATCGGCCACATTTGTGATACCCAATAATTATACCTTTCTCGAAATCAGAGAGCTCCGAACTGCAAGGCATCTTGCATGCGACTAAAGCCGATGCTGTTTCCGACACGATATATACCGGCGGAGTCCGTGGCATACCTTTGGACCGCAGATATCGTCATTTTCATAGGTGTCCAAATACTTATTGGTAGTCAGTGTAGATTGATGTGTCCCTTTGCGGCACACCTAAAAATTTCCTTCTGTGCGCACAGAAAAATTGAATGAAAAAGAATTTATAGGTTACTCTGAACATTCATTATTTATAGTAGATGGCAGCTCAACACAAACCAGTCCATATATTTTAGCTATGCTTAGTTTAAGACCCTCATTTTTCAAAGAAATCTTACAGATTTTTTTTTAGGGTATAAAAGAAATTGTTTGAAAAGAAATTTCTATGTTATTTTTTTGGCTGTATGCTAATCTCCTTATTCTATATTAGTTTCAAATTTTTACCCTGAAACCTTGCCTAAAATCAAACGGCGAAACCTAGGTGTGCCCAGACCGGGTTTATCTAGGACATCTGAGGATAATCTAGGACAACTGAGAGTCTGTATTCTTTGTTTCTCTGCTTTTCATCGGTCAGTTCATTGACAACAATGCTCGTTTCAGCACTCTTTTTGAAGCTCTATTCAATCAGTGTGCCACTTTGGGCACATCCACAGAATTAAAACGATAAGTGCTATCTTCACAAAATTTTACTTGTGTACTCCTCTAGGCCTTATTAGACTGCCTACTTTCTTTTTTTTTTTATCAAAACTCCTACTTTAAAAGGTAGTGTGCCGGAAAGGGTTAAGGCAGTGTGCAGTACCTAGTTTATGCAATTCTTCGATGCTAAAGTGAAAATAGATTGATGTGTTCATGGACATGGAGTTTGTGCAATTCTCTGACTTCTTATTTTGGTTTTGTGTAGCAGCGATCCTTACATTGTGCCTCCCTAGTGGCGATCTTGGCGAAAAAAAAAATCTAAAAAAAAAGTGGGGGCACCCACTTGTAACCTTTTACCAATTTGTGAATGGGAAATATTTGCTGATATAACATTGTTTACAACACAGTTAATATTAAAAAGTAGTAAAGAATCGTTAAATAGTTACTCTGGAAAATAAGCTTACAAAAGAAACACAATAAAAATGGAACTATAGAGTGTTACAACCAGAAAAAGAAATGCTTTTAGTCAAGCTGTCATTACTTTTATAAGAAAAAAATTGCTCTTCGAAAACAGATGAAGAACAAAAAAGAAAAATGCCATTTTACATCTAGGACTTATTAGCGTACAGCTGGTGAAACAAATATGAAATGCTGAATTACTTCAAATAACACTAAAGACTTCTAAACAACTTTACATGACTTTTGCAGAAATTTTCTTGCTCTTGAAGGAAGACACAGGTCTCCGGTGAAGATCCCCGTCTGATCGCCCTTGAAAGCGATAACATTTTCAAAACCTATCCCAAGCTAAGGTTGCTTTCTCACTTAACTCCAAATCTTACATTGGCATGCTTCTCTTCCAATTTGAGATAATCTCTTTCTCAAGTTACATTTTTACATAAAACACTTCATAATTACATTTAATGATTAATGCATATCAATCATAAAAAGGTTTGTACATGTTATTTCACAATTATCACTTCGGAATACATACTACTAAGAGTTCGAAATGAAAGTTGAATTTCAATGCTAAGCATATAAAATGCATCATTTCTGCTTTAGTAACCAATAAAAGATTACAAACTGCTTAGTGATTTCCTAAAAGAGATACAATCTCTTTCCATATTTTATGATTACACTGTATTTTTTAAACGTGCAGCAAATTCATAGCATCTGAATAAAACGAAATGTGTATATATAAGTCTTTATCAAAGATTAGCTTATTTTTTCAAGGAAGGGACATAAACTCACAGTGTAATTTCAAAATAACATCTTCATTGCACTTTACTTCTCTAATGTTTATCACTTACATAAAATTACAGCCTGTTCATGTAAAACAGTGAAAAACTTGAATCACACTCATACTTAGAACTAAGTGAACGGGAATTTACAGTAAAATACAGTAAACTAATTCTTAAATTTTAACATTTTACTGAAACGCAATATTAACGCAAAATGCGCACCACAGTAAACAGAAGATAATGAAAGAAAGACCTTATTACTGACATCAAAAGCAGAAAAAAACACCGATTTACATGAAATCGGAAAACTACAAAATGAAAGTTCACTTTACATTTTCTGCGACAAATAGATATAACAATTTAATTTTAGAAAGGGGATTAAATTGTGCAATAATTCGAAAACATGTATTCAAATACTTAGATTACTTGAAGCAATAATAATCATTTTATTCTCGAATATGTATATATTTAAATAAAGCTTTCACAGAAAAATATGAAAAAGTAGGCATATTTGCTCTCATAAAATACAAAATAAACTACTAAAAGTGGGAAAATAATTGGATTGCTTGAACAGAATCGCACATCCCCCTCCAAGAACGGACTATCTCACTAGCACTGAAGCATCATGAAATATATATAAATTTAATAAAGGAATGTAAAATTACAAATCCCACCTCAGCATACGTTAAATATTCTTCGATTGTGTCATCCAACTTTATACTAAAACCCGAAGCAATTTCCAACGACATGACGAAAATAGCTCTAACACAACATAAACCGCAAGATAAACTGATTTTATTAAAGTGCAAGGAACGAACTTTTGAAAACCACTATTAGTGCACCGTGCGAATGAGCCTTTGCACTTCGAGAGTGAGAAATAGGGGCGAAGTGCAATGTTTATCACGGCAACTGCTCTTGCATTGCAAAATCGACCACGCTTTCGAGACACGCCTTTTGTAAATACATTATTATCATGGTAGATTTTGCAGCCAACCCCTGGTCGGCGCTAAATCCCCAACCGCGAACGTAGTTCACGTGACACATGCCACTCTGTCATAAAATTGCAGATGCCTTATCTCAACTACTACTGCTCATCTGCAATGTTATCAGTCTGTTCGCTTAAGAATCACATCTTACCCGTGGATTTTATTTCTGTCTTGGACATTTCGAGGCATTCCCATTACTTTATTGCACTATGATTTACGATGAAGATCTTATTTTATTCTCGAGTGTCAAGATTTAGAAAATATTTTTTACTAGGCATCTGATAAGCAATCTAAGGCTAAAAGAAGAAGGTATGGGAGGGGATGAGAAGAGAATCTGGTCCGCGCTAGAGCTACTACAGATACTACTAGAGATTTATAGTAGCCTCACTCCGCGCTAGCGTCGGATTATTAGGACAAGGAGGATATTTTTCCGAGAACAGCCATGACGCCAAACAAGGGGCATGATCAAGGAAGGGTTCAATTACGAAGCTCATAGGCTTAATGCCTTTATCCCCACATCATCAAAGATTAAATAATTATCATCAAAATTAGGGTTCTCAAAGAGGTAAAATTTAGTGTCGAATTGTCAAAATAACAGAAGATAAACTGCCTTCCACAGTGGAAAAAAAAAAGGCAAGAACACTGAAGGACTAAATTAATTTAAAAAAGGGGGGAAACAATTTATTATGGTAGTGTAAGACTCTCCACTGTGTATCTTAAGTTTCAGTTGAATGTGAAGAATCTTAAGAACAAGTATGCGAATAATCGCTTAAGTTCGTGAGATAGAAAACAACAAGTGAGAAGGGTGAAATAACCCTTTATTATTCCAACTAAAGTTCGACAGAACTCCGTCTTCGAGTTGTACAATAAAGCCGACACTCGGGCTTGAACTTAGGAAACTAAGAATTAAAACTTAACTAATCTTAACTAAAAGGATATAGCCGAAACTATCAAGATACTAACGGAGTTAGCCCCTTAACGCTAATTGACTTCGAACCCGAGCGTAACAATAACTTAAGAGAGAGTAGTCTAAAAAGGCGGACGCGTGCTAGCCAGAATCTCTGGTTCTCTCTGACTAAGCCAGTAGAACTTCGCGGTTAAACACTGCTCTTCCTCAATTTGCATTCAAACGTGATTCTAAACTACGTTCTGGCCGGAAGTGGTAAGTTGAAATTAAGAAGCGATAGGAAAGGAAGTTTCACTCAAAATTTAACTGTTAATTAAATTAACATAATCCTTTCATAACTCCCGACCAGACTTAAAATTGTCGAAAATTAAAGGTCTCTAAACGACCTTGTTTAAGACTTTAAAGTCTAAAAACTTTCTAACGTTAAATGTAACACTTGTAACTCTTTGCACTAACTAGAACTCATTAACTAATTTTTCTGTGCGCTAAAAAGATGAATTCCTGAACATATTTCCCAAAATGAGGATGATCACGGCACAATTACTAAGTATTTGGATGATAAATGTATTGATTATTAGACATTTAGCGAGAAATTTGAGAAACCAATTAAAATGCTTGTCTTTCAGGTTCAGATAAGAAATGATCCAGATGTTTATCGGATTTATGAGATTAAGAATATTATGTTGTTTAATGTAACTATTGAACCACTTAAATTTAAGGTACAATGCCACAATTGCGGGCATTTCAACCACTCGTCAGAAGTCTGCAAATTGACATCTCCTTGTGTTAAATGTGCCGGCCCGTACCGAGCGGAAAATTGTAGTCCACAACATTTTGAAACGCTGCAATTTGTGTGCAAACTGGTCACACTGCGAATTACAGGGGTTGTGCTAAATTTCTGAGAAATGTTAAAAAAGCAATCCAAAACTCTAACGATAAAGTCATTCCAACACAGCCGAAAACCGGCACTTTTACCACTTCTCTTGGCATATATTATCCTAATACTGTGAGAAATACTAACAGTTCTTGTGAGAAATCTACCTCTGAGCTAAAGTTTGGCGTGCTCTTAGATGTTCTTAAAGACAAAATAAAATTTATTATTGAACTCAAAAACTTATGTAACGGACTTTCATTATTTACCATAATTAGAAAAGCTGTTGCAAGGTGGCCTGAATTACAGGCAACAGATAATTCTGTTGACAAATTATTCACACTATACTATCACAATGGTTTCCGCTGCTCAAGCTCAATGAACAAAGAGTGCGGTCAAGGTGAAGTAACAGTTTGAAATAAAGTGTGGTCTTGATGTAACTATGTGTCTCCCATCCCAGAGATAGTGGGTTCGAAACCCGACCGTGGGAGTTATTTTTAAACTTCGTGCAATTCCATAAAATTTATTCATTAAAAATTACTATATTAAATTAGAAGTAATTAAATAAAAACAAATAATAATTAAAAATAATGACGTACTAAATAATTAAATAAGTAAAACATAATAACGCTGATGTAATTCCAAAACATGTGCTTCATGGGGAAAATAAATGCCAGAAAATAAAAACTTTGAAAACATATTGTCATTTCCCCAAAAAAACAAAAAAAAAAAAAAAAAAAAAAACCATCCCCACAAAAATGAAACATTGAAAAAAATGGCTCTTGCCACGAAATAAAAACGAAGACATATGGGGGCCCCAGTCTTCACACCGTCGAGATGGAAGAACAGTTCCTTTTTTGCGATCCACTCGACAGAGACCGAGTTTGGTGTCATCGTCTTGATCATTACAGAGATCGACGCGTGTGAAATTTTTCCGTCAGCTGTGTAGCTGCCGTTTAAGTTTCTGACTGACAGACAGACAGACAAAGTAAGACAGATGTCTTGTTTTGCACCCGCTAAGTCTTTCTGCACCGATGGGCGAAAAATCAAGCAAAGGTGCGAAGGAAAGGTATATAGAAAGGGGGGGCAATTTTGTATTTGAGGAGAGTAAAAAGGAACTTCGTACATTTTGTACTTGTTCGAAAGGCCAGGAAGAAAAGATGGGACAAAATAAAATTTAAAATAAATGGCCCAAAAATAATAGAGGGGAAAAAAGGCCTATAGAAAGAAAAGGAAAAGAAAATATCCTAAAATACGACTGTGTCCATGAGTGTAGCTAAAAGGAGAAGAAGCTGTCTTCATTTACAATAAATAGTGTCTCACAGGTGTGTGTGTGTAGTGAGTGTGTTTGGTAATGGTGAATAGTGAGTGTGTTTGGTAATGGTTGCTGGGAAAAAAAATATTGACAGTGTTAAAATGCTTCGTATCAAGGTATTTAGCATGGAATACAAAGTAATATGTGTGCTTGCATCCTGAGACATCAACAAAAGTCATCAAACAAAAGTATATATTAATTTAACTAAAGTAATTTATGCTATTTCCGTTCCCAAAATTTTCATACATTTTTCAAAAAACAGTAGCAGACAAACAACATAGAACCGTATACAATACAAGACCACAACCGCACACACACAATATATATATATATATATATATGTGTGTGTGTGTGTGTGTGTGTGTGTGTGTGTGTAAATTGCAGAGTATATGTATTAAAATCACAAATTAGACATAGTATTTATTAATTTAACTATCATAATTTATTACAAGATTAATTATTTTACTATCATATTTTTACTATTAATTAATGCTAGTATAACACAATGAGGCATACTGTTATTTATATAAGCTCATAGTTCTAAGAATTTATTTAAGGCAGTGAAGAATAATACATCCCTTACATATGGACATTTAACAGACAGCAAGGAACAGTATGAGAAAAAAATCGGTGAGGTATAATATTATTTAAAGGTGAAAATATATTTAAGCAATCTAAAAAAAAAGAGAAACCAGAATATCAGAGAGGGAAGTAGCGCGATGCCCCGAATCCCCAATTTTCCCTCTCACGAGATTCCTCAAAACAAGATAAGGTGGGGTGGCCTTTGTAAGTGGTGACAGATGTGAACTGATAATGTTGGCGTCTCTTTGGAATTGTAACCACAAAGGAAGCCACTAGCAATGAGCAATTTCAAGTATTGTGTAATGCTAAAAACTGATGAAAAATTAAACTTTATTGATTTAAAGGCACTTATTTATAGAAATTTGATTTAGTTTAGCTGAAAGAAGGGTACTTAACTTAAAATTCCAGGCTTTCGTAGTATGTCCTCACATTGTCCGCTGTTTCATTCTCATCAACATCGGAGCCGAAAATCTTTTGAAAACCTGTAGGTTTTGTAGAAAAAACACTATTTCAAAGTAATTTAATTGAGAATCACTAAGAAGAAAGGAATGTTTTACACTTTTTTACAGAGCGCTGCCAACGTGCAGCCTCTTGCTTCAGTGATCGCAGCGCCCTCCAAGTTTCTGACTGTGGTTTAGAGCTAAACTGAAGGCGGTGGAAATCACGGATAGTTTTTGGAAGTGTGAGTAATGGACATTTTAAATTCTTAAGGTTTGCAAAAAACTCGAGTGCTTCACGAAAGAAATAAATTTGATGCTGCCGATTCTACTTTTATTGGATTATTTCCACTTAAAGGACTCGTGAACAAACTAAGGCCATACTTTACCGGAGCATCCACATCAAAGACAGCAACAACTCCTGAATTAAAGGTAAGGAATAATTCGTTTGTTTTCATATCTGTATGGTATAGGCTTCTGCTATTGATCTAACACATAAGCAATTCCTTAATTCAATTTTAGTGAAAACAATATATTTGGTGTTTTCATTATTCACATGTAAAGAAGTGCTTACTTTTAATTTAAATTGTAATTTTTAATCTAATGCATATATTAATATAATTAATTTCATGTTCTGATGAGTAATTTATAAATTTTATGTTTTAAATTATAATGTATTTGCCTCTACTTTTATTTTAATTTGCAATGTATAAAGATGTAATACATTAAAGAATAGGCAGTATATATTCAACTTATGCACATCCTAAATTCAACATTCATATTAAACTGCTTTGAGTTAATTTT